GGGAGTCCTGCGTCCAGCTCTGGAGCCCTCAGCACAGGACAGAGCTGGAGCTGTGGGAGTGGGGCCAGAGGAGGCCCCAGCAATGACCCGAGGGCTGGAACCCCTCTGCTGGGAGGAGAGGCTGGGAGAGCTGGGGCTGCTCAGCCTGGGGAAGAGAAGGTTCTGGGGAGACCTTATTGTGGCCTTTCAGTATTTAAAAGGGGCGTGTAAGAAAGATGGGGACAGGCTGTTCTAGGAGAGCCTGTTGCGATGGGACAAGGGGGAATGGCTTTAGACTGAAAGAGGGGAGATTTAGACTGGATATAAGGAAGAAGTTTTGTTAAAGCACATGGTATCTGATAGTAGACATCTAGATTCCACTGCCGACTGTTCCCAATCTTTTGTCTCAGTGTCCATCTGCACTGCGGAAATGGCTTTATCTGGGTTGTAGGGAGGCTTTTGGAGGAGAAGAGTATCAAGCTGCTGTCTGAAGGCACAAGTTTGCACCTGATATCTGTTTTCAGATAATTTCTGAAGAAATATTCCAGAAAGAGCTGCTGTGCAGACTGAAGGTAACAGTGGAAAGAGGATCCCAAATTCTGTTTCAATGACCGATGCTTCTTTGTCCGCAGTAATGGCTGATAGCATCCTTCTGTGTTTGCCCAGGCTTAACTCGTCTTCTGCAGAGCACCTGAAAATACAGGAGTGTGAAGGGCTCTGCGCTGGCAGCGCTTGTGCTGAGGAGCTTTATAGGTTTTTGCTTGTCTCATGATGCTTTCTCCCAGCTGCACAAGGCTGTCTAGAAAGGATGTGCTGCAAATTTGCCTCTCTAGGAAGAAGCTAGGCTGATCTTAGGTGTTCAGAGTGCCTTGACTGCTTCCTTGGTGGGTGGTGGAAAAGATCATGTCAGCTGCTCCTGCTTGGATGTCATATCCCGTCGCTCTGGAGTCGGAAGCGAGTCAAGTCCTCTCCTTAAAGGAGAGAGTCTCCACAGTCTTGTCCCTTGGAAATTGCTCAGAAATATTACCATTTGTGTTTGAATGGCAGCCTTGTGCTTGGCACCACAATTACTGTTTGCCAGAGGCAGACCATGACAGCACGGCTTTGTCCCTAAGCACCCCCGGGTTCGTCTCTGAAGTTTGGCCCACCTGCTGCGTGGCGTTGTGATGTCCGGCCATCACGAGCAGTCCTGTTCATCTCGGCCATGCTGCGCCAGTGCTGCCTTCACATTTGGACCTCTGCACCCTGGTCTGTTTTTATTGTTTTCTGGGTGAGACTGCGTACTCGTCAGGAGATTGCCAGGCTTAAATTCTCTGATTTTCGTGCAATGTGACCTGTAAATTTTAAACCCTGAAAAGATTGATTAACCTTACCTGTATTTGCTCAGCTGGCTTGACTAGAATGTACTTTCTGACAGAGCAGAGTCCTCCCGAAGTTATGAAAAGCTACAACACTGCTTTCTCTCATTTAATTTTTTTAAATGACTGAAGTTCTCATTGAGCAAGGAAGAAGATGCCATATTTTCTATTTGAATTTGTCTGGCTTTTAATTTATTGCCATAGGAATGTTTTCATGACCTTTTCCTACTGGTATGAAGGGCCCCTTATTGTTCTTTTTTCTCCTGTGACCCAGTAGTTTGGAGGCAGGGGCTGTAATCTCTTCTTGCAGATGTGCAACCTTGCATTCAGGTCTTTTCAGGCACAGTTTAAATACAGCTCACCTACAGAGGGGCAGAGATTACTTGTGTGGCTGCTGCTTACTTGTCATAATATATCACTGTGTCAACTGCAAATTTTATCCGATCTGGATCTTTCTTAGCGACCAAGTAGCAAACTGGAATGATTTCTCACACCACTGCAGAACTACCTGCAGAGTTTCCTTTTCCTGCGCAAAGAGTGTGGCACAATTGTCTGGTTTGCTTTCTCAAATAGAAAGAACAGAAAGCAACAGAGAAGTGTTTTTAACAGAGAGAAGATACTGTGTTTAAACAAAACCCTCCACTGCAAATCTGATTTTCATTTTTGAAACAGGAAAATGCAGTGTGTATGACAGATATGGGTCTTGCTGCTTACGACGAGGATTATATTAAAAGAAAAGGCATTAAAATAACCCCTGTAGCAATTAATGGGGCTTAAGCATTTGCATGCCTTTAAAAACTGCTCCCTACTTGCAAGCTTAATGGTATTTTCTGACTGTGTCTATAGAGGAGAAAAATAACTCCTGTAATAGTTTCGAGACTTCAATGGAAGGCATTCACCAGCGTGGATGCGGGAACTGAAATTCTGGCTAATGGCTGTGCTCAATTCAGGAGCAACAAGCTAACTTCACAACAAAGATAACATAGATTATTTGGAAGAAATCCTGAAGTCAAGTCTCCTACCACCACTAGCAACCAGATACTATACTCTGTTTCATAAATCAGTCAAACTTTTTATTAAACGTAGATTGTTTCTTCCTGTTACTCGACGTGTGCACGCACTTAGGTTCCCCCTACTCAGAGAAACCAAAAACTTCTTCAGATTTCTTCTTCTTGAATGATCAGAAAGCATACTTTCAAGCTGAATTTGCATT